CTGGGCATCTAGGCATCAATGACCTCTTTTAGGGATGTTCAGATACCAAGTACCGTACTCGGTACAAGTACAACCTGCTATTTCTTGTGAAAATGCCAAGTATCTCCACTGGTATCTGGGCATCCCTAACCTCTTTGCATAAATGGGTTGAAATAATACCCGGTAAACCTGAAAATAGTATATTAAAAAAAAGACCATTCTGTTTTCCCCTCCAACACTAAAGTTTAGACACACACAATTCGTATAGCCGACCCTTTTTTATGCGAGCATGATGGAGAAATTCAAGTTATAATACATGTAGGTAAATAAATTTGATGCGGTCACATAAAATCACACACTTTAAATAGATCAAAAAAGGCCGAAGTGGAAGAATGTGACATCTTAGCAGTACTCCGGTGTCCTGGGCACTGCGAGAACAAAGCAGACACTATTAAAGGCTGATATTTATCATTTCTTGTTGTCCTTCATGTAACTATGACATGTTTGCCATCTAGTGGGTAATATTATTATTGTCACAGTTGTAAACTAGATTCTATGACAGGTGGGTGTATTTAAAGAGACGCTGTCACCTGCCCAGTTTGAGTGTCTGTAAAAATCACACAAGTCAGCTCATACAAACTGTAATCCTTTAATCCAAATCCATAGTGATACACTGATTCATATCTGGATTCCGTACTCTTTATATGGGTAATCTGCTCATCGCCTATACGCAGCATTTATATACATTTTATTTTATCCAGAAACAAAAATATAAGTGTTTCCATACAGTAAACATTTTTCCATAATGAAGATACATTTACATGTAATCATTTAAGGCACAATATAAATATAGAATGACGTCATCATGATGCTTCAAGCCGCCCATTCTCAAGGATCGCATTGTTCTGCTACCGAGGAATTACGCGTTTAGCATTCAACACAAAATAATACAAACAGCAACACAGAAGTAAAATCCCATGTACAGCAAAGCAACGAGCAGAGAGCGGGGCTTATTACTTCCTACAGGAAACTATTGATCGGGGTCTCTATTAGGAGACGATAGACATAATGTAAGGAAAGCAGGCTTTACATGCCAAAAGTAGATGGAGGACTGCTCTCATTGTCCGCACACATTCTCCTTTTCGGTCTCTCAGTATAGTATGGAATGGTAAGGAGAGTGCAAGGTGTTGCTATAGACCAGGTTACATTTACAGCTGTGGTAAAGCTACAAATCCCATCATGCATCTGCCTCTGGAAGTCATGGCTGTGGCTGCCAGAGTCTTGCAACCCCTAATGGGATCTGTACTTTCAACACAGCTGGAGGGTCAGAGTTTGGCTGCCCCTGGTCTAGGCAATGTGTAGTTTTGCTGTGAAATAGTCTCTAATTTTTTTATACAGCACTACTACCAAAGTTTCTTGTGTGTAAGTTTGGTCTGGCGAAGGGACCAGTGGACGTATAAAATCTTGAGGCTTGATAAAGAGGTAACCCCTCGAAACGCGTAGCCACTGGAGACACCAGATACTTTTGTACCCCTGTGACCACAGCGCGACTGCCATCACTGACACGCGGCGCACGGCGTCCCTCAGCCGCACGTAGCTCCTCCCCCTTTCTGTCTGCTCCTGACGGACGCGGCTCGGCCAGTCGAGTTCGTGGACGGTCACACGGATGCACATCCATTCCAGACCAGCCTCCCACACCACCGGAGACACCCCTTCAAACCAGGATCGGTCCAAGCAGATAATCGCACAGACAACAGGGGAGCTCCTAATCGTAAGTCCCCTTTTTCTACTGTTGTGACATTGCCATAGACACCTAAACTCCACACCCTAAAGATCTAATAGTGTGCCTGACTCTGTCCTCATTTTATATGTCCACTGGTCCCTTCGCCAGACCAAACTTACACACAAGAAACTTTGGTAGTTGCGCTCCTGATCTTTTGTTTTGTGGTTTGTAATAGACAGGGTCCTCTCCCTGTAACTGGAGGAGATCTGCACACCTTTACACAGCCACACCTTTACACAGCCACCTGATTGAAGCCTGTCCACCCTACAGGAGTGCGCTTTATCTTTTGTGTTTTTCATTTACCTGGCAGCTATGTGATTGGTTGTTAGTTTAAAAGGCAACACTTTACCTGCATCCATCTTGATATATGTAGATGCCCAACTGCTGTTACCTTAAAGAGGACCTGTCATTACCTTTTGAATCATGAATCAGCAGCATGCATTCTCAGCATTACCAAAGTACATTATATTTTTTTTTTATAAAAAAGTACCTCTTTGTTGTCAAATAAAAACACCCAGCTCCCATCCAAGGTATACTAGATCACAATGACTCACAACCAATTATTACGGACGAGAGTCTATTGCTTTCAATCAGCATTGGTATGAAGATCAAAGAGGCTGTCCCCATGAATACAGAGAATTACAACCAATACATCGAATCAAGATGTCTAATGCATTAAAAATATTGTATACATAAAATTACCTCCATTACATGCCAAAAAACCCATACCAAAAACATCTGGTATCCATGTTATGTGACTATTACAGAAGAGCACAAAAATACAATTTATATTCCAAATGACACAAATATGTATATCCTCCAAAGAGAAAAGTGCAATACAAATCACTGTATTACTTGTAGACACATGAAAAAACATCTGAAATCACTAAGGAAATACATATGGTGCCCCCAAAAAAAGATGCACATAGGCTGGTAAAAATCTAGATGTATATGCCAGTAAGGGAAGGGTGCGTCTCTTTAATATGATAAACCCATCATGATTTTTAGGTGGCATATGTATTGCTCCTAAGTGGTTCTAGATGTTTTTATATGTGTCGCATAAAGTGGATACAAAATTGTTTTTGGTAGATAACGTTCTGGGTACCATGTGACCCCACATTCATTTGTATGGGTGTTGAGTTGCCATATGTTTGTTGCTGTCTAATAAAAAAAAAAAAGACTACAGTCACAGCTTGTACTGCCGCTCTAACATTGCCAAAAATCGGAGACTTCGAGGGCAGGTAAAAAGGCACGGTTTGTCCTTGGTTCACCTTCCATCATTAGACTTAAAACAAAGCCAATACTCTAAAACATGTCACTAATGTTGGGCCGCTGGCACTGGCAGGGCCAATATGGATCTATTAATGAAAACATTTCCAATGTCTGTTCATTCAACAGATTTATACATCCAACCAAGAATCTCCATTTCGCTTTGGTTGTATGGGCTTTAGCCAGTGAGTAAAACTACAGGTACAATACCCAATATGTCTAAAAGTTTGCCCAAACTTACTGGTATCAGGGAAGGAATTAGCATTATTGAACATGTGTCCATCAGAAAAAGCAGATATAAAAATGTGAAGGGAAATGTAGGCTGGCAATGTCAGATTTATTCCTTCTGTAATCAATTGAATGATTCTTTTAACAATGCCCACCATTTGACTCAACCCTCTATCTGCTAATAAACCCTCCTATTATAAATTTGCTTTACTGGTCCTTGCACAAAACTAGAGGATCAATGAAAGAATGGATAAAAAACAAAATAAAACAGGGCATTACAGTTTTAATCTGCATCCTGATGACTAATATTAAAACAGCATGAATAAAACCATAGTTTTATGGGCCCTCCTTACCATCTAGTCTTCAATTGTATTGTAATGTCTTCCTTATATTGTAAAGCGCTGCGCTATATAAATCCTGTATCATAATAATAATAATAGTGTGCTGCAGTTCTAAAGCAGGTAAGAAAACACTGGAATGGAAACATTCTACTAACATGCATTGAATGTGGACACGCCTGCAAAGAGAAGCAGACCTATATGGCGTTGCAGACAGTTCACTTTACAAAAACATCTTGTTTTTCTAAAAACAAATTTGAAAAAAAAAAAAAAAAAGATACCCATGTGTTCGTACCCTTACTGTGCAGAATCCAAATATCAAGCACTCCAAGGATTAATAATAGTTTTAGCCTTTTTGGTCTTTTAGTTCGAGGCAGACTCACCTCTATATTTTCCAAAATGGTGTACATGCATTTTATGTATACAGTCTCAAAGCCGAAGGCCAGACAGCTAAATACACAACTGAAACAAATACATAGAAACTGTTGTACCTTCCAAATTGTATAGAATCCTGTTCAGCCGTTTTGTGATTCAGCCCCCCAGGTAGTCGCCGCAACCAGAGCCTGCTCTTCCTGCCCATTGTTTTGAAGTTGAGCAATACAGCCTGGTCTAGGACCCCTACCACTGACTGGAAAAATGATTAGCAGCATTCTGATCTCTCCTGCGATCAGATGGATGGTACTGCTCACTGCAGTAGAGCCTGATTGGCTACTAGTGTTCTCCCAACCCAATGTACAGGGGGATTACTGGAGGCTGGCATCAGGACAGATTCAGCTGCATATAAAATAATACACTGCATGATTCCAAAACCGGATTCAATTATGTTTTAGATTTCTTTTAGTTCAGCTTTAAAAATGTAATAACTGGAAATAGGAATTCTGCAAGGTTCATAAAGTAATGGAACAAGAAGCCCAATTGATTGCTATGGGCAGTTATTCTAAATCAACCACAGTGCAGGCTGTGTGTGTTGGGGGCAGAGTTCCCCTATAGCCCCAGCAGGTCTGAACCTTTCACTTCTATTTGTGTGTTCTGCTCAATCCCAGGCAGCTTCCTTCAGACCACAGCAGTGTAAACTAAAAGGGAAGCTTATGGGGATGAAAGCAGCAAAGCCTGACAAGTCCAACCTGACACTATGCTGTGCTAAGCTCCCTCCGTCTCCAGCTTCATAGGTTTTCAACAATTAAGAGAAGAATGTCTAGAAAAGCATAACGAAAACAGAACAAGGTAATATGTCACTTATGTAGCTTCTATAGTGGATGTATGCAATGATTTCTTATGGTCATAAACATGTGGAGGTGCACAGAAATAAAAATAGACTTGTACAGTATATTAAATATATAGGATGACATATAACCTTACAGAATGCAGGCATAAGCTGGTATTCGGTTACATTATAAAAGGATTACACTATAGACTGATTTATACAATTTAGGAACACAAAGTGGAAGTCTAAAAGGGTTGTAATAATGTATTTCTGTATGACAGCCCAGTTCATCTTGCACAAAGAATCTCCCTCTCTAAAATTTGTGTATGCCAATGTGTATGGTAGGCCTGTCTCCATATTCACCGAACCCATGATGTCATTTCAGTAAAATGCACAGCTACTCTTTGGATAAACAAGACCAGAGGTGTCTGTGTGTTTTACTAAGACCAGGACATATTTCTTACAGCCAGCAATCAGGCTCAAATGTTCATGGCAGGTTTGAATGTGATAAATATGGGTGTCTGAATGCAACTAAGTCTGGTTTTTGGTAAAAACACATTGATCCATTTGGGCCTTTACTGTTTTGGGGTTAGCATTGCCTCAGCCAGACTTCTGGAAACATTAAAGTACAACTATGGCCTTCCATTAAAAAAAAAAAAAAAAATGTGCTGCAGCACATAACTACAAATACCTCATTCAGCACTTACAGTTTTCTCTTAGCCCCCCTACAAAGTCCCACAAATACGTCTCGATCCTGCCAGAGAAGTCCACCTAATGTAGTTTCCTGCGATAGGGTGGCAACAATGCTGCACTGCTTCTGAATTCAGATCAGAGTTGCCAGGTTTGAATATGATAAATATGGGTGTCTGAATGCAACTAACTCCGGTTCTTGGTAAAAACACATTTCTTGCATTGGCCCTTTATGGTTTTAGGATTAGCATTGCATAGTTGTACATTAAAGTACAACTATGGCCTTCCATTAACAACAAAAAAAAAGTGCTACAGCACATAACTACAATTACATCGACACTTACAGTTTTCTCTTAGTCCCCCTGCAAAGTCCCACAAATACCTGTAGATCCTGCCAGAGAAGTCCACCTAATGCAGCTTCCTGTGGTGGGATGGCAACAGCGCTGCGCTGCTCTTGAATTCAGATCAGAGTTACCACTCTCATGCAGGATATGTCTCCTTGCGCTATCATGGAATCAAAAATGTTGCAGGGGGCATGACTATCTGCACTGTCACTGCCTGTAGCTTGTCAATCAACGCTACCTAGTCCTGCCTGCGGTTGTCTGGACTGACAGCACTTCCTCTGTTGCTGAAACCCAACCACTGTGAGCTGCAGTGTCTGGGAGGCGGAGTTGTGTGTGAGACACAAATTAAGGATGAATTGGATCAGTCAGGGAAGGTAAATTAAGTTATTTGCTTACTTTATGAGGCTGGTGCATTACATGGTAACTGGATTTGGTAATTGTTTAGAATCCTAGTTGCAGTTTAAAAGTGGAGTAGTGTGGCCATTATTAAAGACTCCCAAAGAGTGTTTATTACACTGTATGTAAGAGACAAGGAGAGCCTAGCACTGCTCCCTTCTGCCCTCTCAAATCAGACTGACTTCAGAATACAATACCTTCCTTTGCTTCCTTTCTAAAAATAAAACTTTTCTTTTAAAATAAAATGCAATAGTTGTGCTGCAGTACAATATAACCGTTTCATTTAAAGTAAAGATATTCACATTAATCTCAGCATACCCCAGCTACGCAGGATAATCACTAGCTCCTGCAGGCTCTGAGCATGGCCATATTAAAATCAGCCATTCATTTAGAAGCTGCTTATGGCCTCTGTATGAACATCTGATTAAAACAAGATCCTCAGAAAGGACAGCATCAATTACAGTAACATTGAAACGGCAAACAACAAACTGCCTCCGTAATCCACACAGCTAAAAGGATCAGCAATGTAGAGTTTACACTAATCCATCTGCTCAAGAACTTGGCATTATCTGGCCCTCTAGAACTGAATGTCATTATAACTGAAATCCAAATCAATACTGCGCAAAGAAAACAAAAAATACAAAATATAATGGTACATATTTACATGGTGGTAAATACAAACTCCAGCTGCTGTAAGCATCAAACATATTCCCGGCTTTATAAAAGAATAACTTGAATTTTAATGCAGTTAAAACACCCTATTGCACAATATTAGATTGAGGATAAAGCTGCACAGCTAAGTAAGCTCCATAACAGTATATGACAAGGTCTGCGAAACAACCTAAAAACAATTAAAAGAAGAAGTGTGCAGAAGACTCATGAAATAAATGGAACTATAAAAAAATATATATATATATCTGAAAATCCTGTGAGTGTGGTCAATTTATTCTCTGGCGCTGCAGGGAAAAAGGGGCCTTGTGACAGGTAGGGGGACTAGTTGGAAACCGAGGTCCTCGCCCCATCTTCGGTTAAATCATACCTGGAAAGAAAATGTTTTGTTTTATTGTTTGCTTTAAAATGAGCAATAATTAGTCCAAGCATCATTCACCTACATGCCGTTGTCTTTACTATGCAGAAACATGTTAAAGTCTACCTGAACCCCAAAATAAAAATGTAACAGATTGCAGCATTCCAGTCCTTAGATGTGTTGGCTGCATTTGGTTTTTTCCCTTTATTTTCTCCTGGCTGTCCTAAGAATAACACTTCCTGTCCTAGGGTGGCAACGTGCACTCCTCCTCTGTATCTATGGAGGAAGCCATGGATGTCACCCAGAATGGGCTTTGAACATGTCTTCCTCTCTTTATCATCATCACATTGGGAAGGGACAGATTAGTAGTTTAGAGAAGGAAGATTGTTTCATGCTTCCAGTTCAGCTCACAGAAGTGACAAAGGCACTGCATTACTGGCGTGCTCAGCAGGTATTTTCTGTTATTAAAATGAACACCCCCCCCTTGTTATTAAAGTAGAACTATGAGGCGAGTGAAAATCACTCAACCCCATAGTTCTATTTTGTTCTAAAATTTTGTTTTATAATTTCAAATCTTATAACTACAAAGAAGGTGTATTATTATTCCCACCTTGGCGTATTTCCGCCCGTCCCTAACGCGCTACAAACCGGCCCACGCCTGAAAAGGTACAGGTACTACTTTGGGCCGTTTTGTTGCGCGTTTCCATTGGGATACAGCCAAGTAGCCTTCGGAAACGCGCGACGGTCGCGCAACCTTTTAACCGCGAATCACGGTAAAAAAACGTGCAACAGACGCGCGTATGCAATACGCCTAGGTGTGAACGAGACCTTAAAGAAGAACTCCAGGCATATGAAATATTTGCCCTGGCAGTGGGACAACCCTTGCACTGTAAGGGTAAGTGCTCATTTTGTCTAGAGCGCTATAATATTAAAGATACACTTCTCGGCTGCTAGACCGGTCCCTGCAGCCTCGCTTTCCTTCCTCTCCAGCGATCAAATGTCCCTCGTCGAATGTCCCTGGAGCGAAAGGGGAGCGAGGTTGCAGGGGCAGGTCCAGCGGCCAGCCAGATCCAAGATTCGGGTAAGTATATCTTTCTTTTTTTAGCTTCCTAGAAAAAAATTAGCAATTAACCCTTGCAGTGTGGTAGTAGCCCCACTGCAAGGGTTAAGATTTCATATGCCTGGAGTTCTTCTTTAAATATGTACACTCTCGTGTGCAAGTCTTCCCTTTGTATATGCTTTGATAAAAACTGAAGATTAAAATATATATAAAATAGGTATTTTCTGTACTTGCTAAAAAAATGTCTTAGTCTGAAAGGAATGAAAAGGAATGCAGCCACCAAAGCTAAGGACTGATAAGCTGCAATATATTACATTTTTGTTCATGGGTTTAGATATCATTTGAGGTTATAAACAAACCTTTTTTTATTTCCTTTAGTTTGTATACCCTCATAGTATATGCCTTTACCTCAGTTCATCTGTTTACTGGGCTTCCCCTCAAAATAAACAGACCAATGTTTCGTTGCTGCAGGTAAACACGTTGCATTTAGAACCTTGACATGATTTACTATGTGAGTGCCATCATTTTAGTACACTGCACATTCACACTAGCAGCATGTAGTTGTGCATGTAGATTAAAGTGACCCTGTCACCAGTTTACTTTGAACCCATCATTAGAATATAGGAAAGTAGCACTTACTCAAGCTCCTATTATCATGTTCATCATTTCACTGTTTGTCAGTAATGGTTTTGTACTTCTCTTCAACCCCTGACACTTTCTGGAGAGTCAGAGGCTTTGTGAACCTGCTCCAACCCCAGCCTCTACTTCCCTGTCATCCCCAGGGCTTCCTAGGGTGCTCTGTAATCACTCTCACACTCTCCCAGTGACAGCAGTCATTAACCACATTGCAATTCTCAACACAGGCAAAGTATTCAATGTTTGTGTTTAAACCTGCAGCACTTTGCCCCCTTTGGCCGTGATACTGTCTCTTCAATGGAACACGTCTCAATACTAGCAGATGAAGACATCTGCTTTGTTCAGCATTAGGATGCAAAGCAGATTGGGGAAGGAGCTGTTGGGTCTGTATGTATCTGATTATTACACTTTATCCCTCTACGGAACAAGAATTGCAACAAAATATCGGAAACCCTCCCCCTTGTTTGTGAACAGATCTTTTTGTGTAATTCATTTGTATATGTCTGTGTGTTTTATAAGAAGATAAATATTTCCTTCTTACCACTGCGTCCATCCTTTGGCAATTTCTTCTGAGTTTAGGTCCAGCAATAACTGTAAAATGAATGGAAATAAATCATTCACGCTTCTTGATGCTATTGCTTTCAGGCGTATTCAGTTCCAACACAATCTGTGCAAAAACTGAGGCCAGGATTCATGAAAGTCACAGTGTGGATGACTGAGAAATGGGGACACAGTCTGTAAGGCAGGCATGTAAATCTGTTTTTTTTGGGTTGAATGCAGCTCTCTTACTCCTTGTAATAGTTCAATGCTTTAAAGTTCACCTGTCAGTACCATAAAGACGCTAAATAGGCTCCACAGCTATGCGGGCACTGTGCCCATTATGTCAGAAATACCTTTTTTTGAGCCTTCTTTTTTCTCTCAGCTCTGCATGGGCTGGGTTGGGGGCTTGGCTAAGGTGCAGAGTATCACATGTTCTGGTGAGGTCACCAGCTTTTTCAGACAACCGGAGACCATGCAGAGAGGAGTGGAGCAGACAATCAAGTCATCTCATTTGTCCCCCAGACATTGCTGCCAGTGACGTCAGCAGCTAGGAGGATTATGACCCACAGTAAGCCAGTACTTGCTAGAAGAAGGGGAGCATGCGCTCTATGGTGGCAACGCTGCAATGCCAACAGATTGTTGATATCGAGAAGGAAGTCTAAGTGACTGGCAGGATTAACAGGTCATTTCTCTAAAAGTAAAGTTCAATTGAAAAACCAAAGGGCACAGAGAGATAATAATTATCTGTAAGGCTTTACTGTTTATATTTTCTGGGAGATGATTTACAACCACTTTGTTTGTCTAATTCCCCAAACTACTTAGAATTCCCTCCTGTTCAGATACACACTGTGCTCTGGTTCCCTGCCTGTGCTTAACATTACATAGACAGTCTACTGAGATTCTTCACTTCATACTGATTGACGCTGTATGACGTGCACTAACGGGGGAACTGATATGATGCCATGCATTGTCAGACAATCTGTGGAGAGAAAAATCACTCTATGGTGGGAAGAACATTACTAAAAAAAAACAAAAAAACACTGATCAGTAAGAAAGGCATTAGACCAGCTAACATCAATCGGGAGATGGCTGACTAAAACTTTAAAGTGGAACTCCAGTCAATATCAGGATCTCAAATACAGTATATGCATCATGTGTATGTCCTATATTACTCTTACAGCTGTGAATATCCTCCATATAGATTGTTCAATTTCCTTCTCCCCCTAAAACTATCCCATCTGATGAGTGACTATAGGAAAAATATGGCTGCTGATTCCTTGCATCATTAGTCACCTCTCTTCTCCTAGACTGCTGAGTGGACAATGAAAGAGCAGCAGCACAATAAATAATAATAATGATCCCTTACTTTCCCCTCAGCTGTTCTACTACCTGTACATAAAACACACTCTTGGTTTTTGTTTTTATAATATGTATACTACATGACTGAAATTATACTTTTATATTTGCCCGTAGTTTGGCTTTAAAGTAAGTTAAACAGAAAACGCCTTCGATTTAGACAGAATTTTTAGCACTTCTCTACCAGACAGCATGAAATACACAAAGGCTCACCTTTCCAAGCAAACCTTTATCCCTAGATAAGAATCCTCCACTATTCTTTACAGCAACATCTAGTGTTCTCCTTTGGAGGTCTGGCAGTGTCACATTGAACTCAAATCTGCAAATGAAGCACAAAAAAAACCAACATAACTGATAAGTATTTACTTTATTTTTGTGGACTAATGAGCAGCATTTGAAATTTGGACACAATGGTTATGCTCCCACGGCAGTTTAAAAAAAAAATATTCAGGACTGTGCCAGGGACAATGTTGGCTCCCCCTGGCCCTTCCTACCTCCATCAGTAAAGATGGCTGCCTCAGTCAGCTGAATAATGCACAGTGTCCACTGACCCTATCACACAGGCAGATAGAAGGCACAGGCGTTCACACTATTGTTTTGCCTGAAGAGGAGACCAGACGGTCTCGAAACGTCGCTAAAGTTATGTGACACTTTGATGGTCAAAATAGTTATGCTGAGCCTGCACTGCTAACAGGCTCGATCACTGTGCTTGCTTGGATAACAGGCTTAGTGGCCAGGCAGATAGCTTAGTATAAATGTTGAGTCTAAACCTCCAACCAATATCTTAGGAGTTACATGTGGTGGTTTTCTTTAGTTGTGGCTTCCAACAGTTTCTGAATAGGTACACTCATCTTATCAACCTGTGCCTGCTGCACTGCACACTTCTACAAGGAAACATGTATCAGAGTCCTAATATATCTCTTCTCCAGGGGCTACTGATCCTGCCCACTCCCACTGACAATGCTACAGTTTTAGCTACAAACTATGGAAATATGTCAAAATTACAAAAATGCTATAAAATAAATATATATGGGTAACCAACATTAGCTATGCTTAGCTCTAAAGTAGGGGGCGTGTCCCCGAAAACGCGTCAAGCATTAGCAGTGGGACTCTGTGAGGAGAACAGAGTCTCCTCGATCTCTCCTCCACAGCAGCAACTCAATCAAGGACTGTCAGTCCATTTTTATGCTTTTACTTACTGCCTTTTTTGTGAGGATATTTTTGTTTACTTTTTAAAATCAATAAAAAGGTTTAACCTGCACCAGGAAAGGAGCCCAGTTGTTTTTTGTTTTCTATGCAGCCTTCTGGACTCCCTGACTGGAACGGGGCAGCCTCTACTGGATGCGCAGTAAAGGGTTCTGGCTTAAGGATGGTCTTTCTGGCGTTGATCGTGTATTGCATTTTTGGATTTGTTTATGGTATTAGCCTAATAAACCAGCAGAAGAAATGGTCACTGGCATTTGTGTCTCTCTAAACCAAATTATGGTGATGTGTGTCTATGCCCTATACAGAGGCACCCCAGTTCTGTGCTATATAGTCACACTAAAGTGAGATAGTCCGTAGCAGTGCACAGCTTTACCACCCTGTTCCATGTGCAACAGTTTCTCATTTTCCTGCTTTCTGAGCAATTTTGCAATTTCATTAAATTCATAAATTTGAGATATCATAGAATAGTACTTTAAATCATTTTAAATGATGTTCCATTTATGCTGCTGAGTCCTAGAAAATACATGAATAATGCACTGGGGAGAATGAAGAAAATGACATACTTTAGATCAAATACAGGATTTAATGTCTTCTTAAGCACGTGGGTTTTTCTTCTTCCCGACCTTCGCTTGTCTGGTAATAAATACAATCTTACGTATGGATCGGAACCGTCTTCAGAGAAGGCGATTAGGTTACTACAAGGGAAACAAAGGAAAGCTATTTTTGGACTTAGAATTGCTTGGTGCAAGTCTTTTTTCTACATACAGGCAAAAACGATACAATAAAATATAAAAAAGTTGACCTATAAAGAATAATAACGAGTTACAGAAGAGCAAAAAAATGAACCTTTCTTTGGAAAAAAAAACAAAAACACTGCTCCAGGCTTTTTTTTTAGGGCTGGTCATGTAAGAATAAAGCTAGGCATTTAGACATATGATTCTTGTTATGGGAACAGAATTTATACAGGGAGGTCATTCCCTTGGGCATGACTAGGCATTAGATCATGTGACCAGTTCTGGAGGGTGCCTGGAGCGCCCTCCCTTTTTTTTTTTTATTGTTTTTTAAGGAAAGCAAGTACAGTTATATCAGGTATGTGTAGGTATCGTTAGATGCTCACTTGAAGATAACTATACTAAATGATTACATTGATTTTTATTTTAGGTAAATCTGTTACGGTAAAACTTTGTGGAACCTGAAGGTACCTTTACTATTCTACAAATTCTTCTGTGTGTGTCTAATAAGCCTCTGAATCCCAGGTGCATGCTATAGAGTAGTCAACAGGTCGATTATAGGCATGTGATGGATAGATTGCGACCCCACGATCAGCAGAGGTCTCCCCCATATGCAGGGAGATATAGCTACCTGTCCTGCGTTGCTGGTCCCCATAATCCTCCCCTCTTACTCTCGAATCCATCCCATACAAGCTCATGGAATGGACATGAGTGGTGAATTGTTGGGGACCAGCACAGCAATAGACACTGACACATCCCTTCTTCTCTGCACGGCCGCTCTCCACCCATAAACGTCTGCCTTCATAATGACTGCAAACAAGTATCAACTGAAGTCAATAGTAAGTGTGTGTGTTTGTTGTGCAAAGTTTCCATAACTATAGCCAAGAAAGGAAATGTTGAGACATACTTCAGAACACTTCATTCTAAGAGCAATAATGACTTTCCACCTAAGTCTGAGTTACGAAAACATAACGTATAACAATAAGGTTTGGTTCTAGGCGTTTTTGAGGAGTAGGCTTTTAAACACCCAACACAAGAAATCCAATCCAATGGCCCCTGTTCACAGGAAAACGCCAAACACAGACAAAAGCACATGAGCTTCTTTTGGCGGTTTCAAGCTCATTTTTCCCCCATATACTTAAATGGAAACACCAGGAAAAATGCAGTAGGCGCATGTTGGACATTTTTGTGGGCGTTTTTGCACACTTGTCCATTGACCGCAATTTTCCTTAAGCTGGCAGTCAAAAGGCTTATCTGCTTGTGCGCGCGTTTTCACCCACGTACGAATGTGCCAAACGTGCAAATAACCGCATGCTGAACCCGCGCATACAAAAGCGCAACACTGATGCAGCCAAAGTGTGAATCAGGCCTTCAAAACCTTGCCTAATACCCAGCAAAGAATGTTTACTAGGCCTCCAGGGAAAAGCACAGCCACAACTTTGGCTTCTTATAAGCTAACAGAAAAGAGGATGTGCATGTGAGGATGGTGAGATCATTAAAAGAAGCCTTTTTCAGAAGCTGCCGATTTGCTTTTTGATAACTTTAAAAACAAAAACAGAAATAATATCTGCAATAAATTCCCTTCAACCATCTGCAAGAACAATTACAAGAAGAGTTGAAGTTATGGCAGTTGACATCATTTCACAACTAAAAAAAGACTTGGATGACTGCAGCTATTTTTCTCTTCAACTTGATAAGTCGGTTGATATGACAGATAACTCGCAATTAGCTATGTTTGTTAGATTGGTTTTCAGTCACTTTGAAGTAAAGGAAGAAGTTATGAAAATGATTATACCGGGGTGAAGATATCTAACTGAAAGAATATTTCATCTCTGAAAAGATTTCAATACAAAAGCTTGTCAACATTACTATGGATGGAGCTCCTCCTTTTACTGGCAGCCAATGAATTTGCAGCTTTCTGCTGAAGAGATGTAAGTTTCCCAAAGTGTGTTTCTTATCAATGCATCCTACAAGCACTGTGGGAAGATTTTGAATGTGAATGATGTCATGAAAACTGTTATTAAGACTGTTAACAAAATTTGGGCCCACTCTTTTCATAGAAGGTTGTTTAGGGAGTTGATTGGAGCGCTTATAATGGCAATTACGTTATATTAACAGGCAGACATATTAGGACAGAAAAGTCGCACATCTTATTTTCTATTTCTGTAGTCTGAGCCATGCATGCGCAGCACAGTGTGCAGTCTTGGCAGAATCCATTGCTGAGATGCAGTAACGCCCATGTGCATTCGTGCGAGTTACGTTACTGGGCCAAACCAATCAACCAGCCAAAGACTTCCAACCCCTGAAGAAGACCGGGAGAAGATGGAAGCACTGGTGAGGGAGGAGAGTGCTGAAGGGGAATGCTATAACATACTACTTTGATGTGCATACTAGAACATTATAGATATAAGCTCCTGGGGGCCCTTTACGTCTGCTTTAAAATGGAGTATGGCGAACTTCTGTTCCATGCTGAGGTGCATTTGGTCAGGAAAGGAAAAGTCAAACAGCCACAGTAACTTCTCGAAAAGAAGCGTTTGTAGTGAAGGTAGGATACTATAATTAACTTCAATGCTTTGCCTTTTTGGTAGATGTCACTGAAAAAACCTAATGATTTGAATCTGAAACATCAAGGCAAAGATAACCATATTCTGGACATGATTTCTGAAGTAAAATCATTTTCAGATAAACTTAGCCTTTGGGAGAACAATTTGAGAAAGGGAGATTTGAAGCACTTTCCAAATTTTAAACAGCAGATAAAAAAAATCTGCAATACTCTATAAAAGGGACAATCTTCTGAATATAATTTCTCAGATGAAGGAATAATTTGAAAACCGTTTCACTGATTTTAGAGGGATCGAACCTGTCTGCCAGTTTGTATTATTTCCATTTTCAAACATAAATGTTGAAGAGGTATCTGCTTCAATAGAAAAAGGAATCTCAAGAAGATCAATCTTCTGTTAAGCTGGAACTTATTTCTCTGAGAAATGACTTGCTGTGCAGAGCGCTGCTGATTCAAGAAATGTCTGCTATGTATTTTCAAAGGAAAAGTATCTCGCATTAGATTTCAGCTGCTCAGCGAGTAAAGGGCTTCTCTGCATCTAACATTTTCAGACATTAACTTTAACAAGAATACAGAAGCAGACTGACCGATGACCATCAGGATTCCTGCATCAGATTTGAGGTGATGAATTATTCTCCAGATGTGAAAACAAATTGTGAATGTCAAGTTAATCACTGAAGCTATATTTTTACAGTGATTTCTTTTACTGTGACCCTTTCTTTCTTTTTAACGGGGCCTTGCTAGGTTATCTCCTTGAGCAAAAAGCATGCTGCACCTGGTGATCTTTGATCTCTTCCATGTTGTTCAGGTAGATCGCCACCTTTCTAGGGCTGCCTACCCCATTATAGAGAGCGTGGAATGCTCTGAATCAGAGTTCTGCCATGTCCCCCGCCGTTCAACAATATCATAGAAGATTCTCAGCAACTTAATGGGGGCATTACTATAGGGCCCTGTTATTTGTGGTTACTTCCGGACCCTCAACTGTGATAAGGGGAGGTAGTCCACACTCAAGGCATATTCGACATCTGTCTGCTTCCCCCTGGAACTGAGGAACCCAACATAAAGCCTGCTCCAGAAAACAATGCCACAATAGCAGTCACAGTGGTGGGGCATGAAATATATTTTTCCTCTTCTCCAAAGAAATTTGTGTTTTTATTTATTTTTAATTTTCCCACTGCAATGCAGCAAGCAAATGTTTCTTCATTTTATACCAATCTGTAAAATAAACTCTACAGAGCATTTTTCAGTTTTATGGACTTACCGGCAGGAATGTACCACGACCACAAGTTTATTTCTGTGAGAGGTGTGCCGCAAGGTTAATTGGATCTGTCCTAGAGGGGATTGGCCCAAGGATGTACCGCTGGAAATAGAAAGTGATTACAGTATATTAGCAGCTGGAGTCATTGTTAGATTATGTTCACCGTACTGCTGTATCCTGTCCTCCTTTGTCAGTTTAAAAAAAAAAACGTTACTGCATTATATGTTAACAGGTTGAGGTTATTTATTGGAACATAGTGAAAGAGGCAGCAATATTTGCTCATTACATATGCAGGCTCTGCTGCCTGCTTAGTAGTGCTATATCAAGGTTATGCTAGACCTCTGCTCCGGCCAAAGCAAATTACCAGTCTTGGGATTGCCTTAAACTGGATGCACATGGTCATCTTGTTTTTGTTCAGCCTGAATATGACAGATTCCTTCATCCATGCTAACAGAGTGATAAATGAATCTCCCGCTGTGGATACTGTATTGTGATAGCGGGGCATGCCGATGTCAGAATACAAGCACATCGTGGACAATGATTTTCCAGCACATACCCTTGGAAAAAGTCAATCTAATTATCGATTTCTGTTGAGGGGATAGGGCCACCCACGAATCAAATTTTCGTCCAATTCCTGCTGAAATGGCCACGATTCGCTCCGTGTGTACCCAGCTTTAAACATTTCTGTAACTTTTGCCCAGGAGTGACAGTGGCACACATACTGATTAATCTCTATGTGTGATAACCAATGATCAATAGAGACTCTAGTTATCTCCCTCTAGGAGGCCAGGACCTGGACCTGCTAAGGACCAATGGACCTAATGTCATAGGTTAGATGGAGACGCTATAAAAACTGTAATATGGTAGCTGAAGCATGAAGCATGAAGCACATGCTGCTCCCAATATTCTCTATGAGACCTGCAGCACTGCAATCGCATATCCATTCCCCCTCTCCTCCTTGCAAATCACAAAACAGAGCCTGACATTAATGGTCTATGAGACATGTAGTGCTACAGCCACAAAAGCCTCCACCTCCATATACACCTGGTGATTGTCTGGGAGAAGGAAGCAGTTCTAATTATGGCAGATGGCTTTGCAGAAAAGTCACTTTACAACTTACTGAACTCCGGTGAGACTCCGTGGGATGGGCTTTAATTAAAATAAATGTATAGCTCACTTTCAGTTATATAGCCACATGTTGTACATGGTCAGACTATACTTGCCTCCTGTTTTATATTTCAATTACTATACGTCATATACACATTTGTACATGCTGCCTTTAGTGGCCATATGTATATGAGGGAATGTGATTAACACCCCTGTTTAATGGCTGCATTATAGAGAGTTTGTTTTCAATCAGGTCAGACCCGACTCTCGTGCTTACTGACAGAGCGGCAGTGAAGTACAGAATTTGTAGAGCAAACAATATACAGAAACAAGGTTTTCAAAACATTAACGTAGATCTCGGCTCCCCAAAAGAATATCGAGTTGTATAGAGCATGTTAATTAACAAATGATCACTTATTTTTTTTTTTAAATAGTTTTCCATTTTCACGGTTACCATTTCTCTCCCTCTACTGTGCAACCCATGTACACCCCTGGTGTCCAACCTGTTGTTCATTGGCACATATAGTGAGGCCCTCAGAGCCTTAGATAAAATGTTTGTAAAAAGTTCTGACAATGCAGTTGAAGTAGGAAGGACGAGCACTTACTTTTGAAGCTGCCGCAATCGCTGGCGGAGCTCCTGAGTAGCTATGGGTAAGGAGATATCAGAGGCGATGCTAGGAGTGGGCTCCTTTGAGGACATGTGAGAAGGAGAATATGTAAAGCTGGAACCTGAGAGAGTGGAAGCGCTTTTGTTTAGTTCTGTTGGTCTCTGGGGGCTAGCGCTTGGCGTGCTTCCTTTTTCCCCATTTTCTGTCTTTTTATTGGCATCTACTTTGGGTGTTGGTGGAGATTTCGGTGCATCTGCTGCTGAAGGGGAAGGAATTGGAGTTGGCGGATTCTTTCCTTTGAAAATGGACGGCCTCTTTACTTGGGATGTGTACTGTTCATCAGGAGACCGCACAGGTCTGTCCACATGAAGAATCTATAGGAGAAAAAAAAATCCATACAATATTAGAAGACACATCAGGTACATAGCTTTGCCTTCAATATTTAAACATAACAGAAGTTTCATGAAAGAGATGTGGTCACCGTGGACAAAATGCGTCAGCTAGGAAGCGTAGTAACCTAGAGCTGACATACCTGCAACAGGCTCCCAAACTTCCTCTCATGTCTAAGATCCAGGCTCTTCTGATTGGCAAAGCTCTGACATTTTTGGGTAATGTTGGCATTTGTCCTAAGCCCCATCACCACAAATACTAATCAAAATGATGGGCAACCTCAATGACCAACAAGAGGCAGAAAGGGGTGGAACAGCTTTGTCATTAGCCTGAGCTTTGCCTGTGAGATGAAGGTATGGGAAGATGTTGCAGGTATGTGTACCTCTAGGTGCTTGAATGCGATACCTCCAGCAGTCTCCACCCATTCCCCCCACTGATATTCTGTTTAAGCAACTGCCTTGGGGGAACTGTAGGCACAGCTATCTATGCATGCCACACACCTTCAAAGAATGTATGCTTTTCTCTGGATCAACAAGATAGACCTATTTCATTTAAACTATGTAGTTATGTATGTCAAAGAGTTCCATTTGTCTAGGGGTCCAAATGGGTTAATTAATAGATTAATGTATTTTCCACTGGGTACCACTGAGCCTTCAAGAGCCTACACTGGGATAAGGGAACACAGCAGTTAAAGAGAACTGGAAAGCCCCTGGAGAACTGATAAGCCCAGAAGAAATAGAAACATCTGCTGCATCCACTGAAAATCGTGGGAACTATAATTTAGGGCCTTTCATACAATACTACCTGCTAGAGAAATCTGGTATTGTGTTGATACAATAAATTAGGCCTATTCAGCAATCACAATCTCTATGCTAATGCTGGCATTGAACAGAGAAACAAGCATAAGTAAATGTATGGCTATATATACCCTGAGTGCAATCTTCATCTTTATGGTGCTATTTGGACCAGAGTTGTTGAGCTGAAACCTCTGATTAATAGTCATGTCCTCACTGGTCAGCAGCTTGCTTAGTGGAATCTTGAGATTTCCCATAGAACTTTGATGGTATTCATCCTTCACCTGCAAGAGTGAACAAAGTCAGTATCAAAGCACTAACCTGGAACAATGTGGACCACATTTTCCTGGGAATGTCCTGTTCCAAATGTTCAAATGGTCTTTGCTCTCTCAGTGTCATGTTATTACACGGCATACATCACATTTATACCAGGGTGTTTCAGAAGAATAGCTTATGTTTTACATTGATAAAAAAGAAATTATCCTGTGCAAAAACATTTTTAAAATCAACTTAAAAGGGTATGTTTAGTGAGACGCGAAAAATAAATCTGTATTTCTATATTGAAATTTTCATAAGTTTTGTCCCACTTCTAATAAACTTATCCACCTACGAGTTTGAACTCTAACCTATTGAAGATGGCCATAGGATGTACTTCCTCAATCCACTGACACAGTTTCACTCAGTCCTGTGAATATTTTTATTGAGCCTGCTGTATAAACTACAAGTCAATGTCTGAACAATGTAACATCATCACTGCTTGCTGGAAGCAATGCATGATGGGGTATATAGTCTTGAGAAATGGAGATTGCATCACATCAAGCAGCAAGAGATGCAAAGCACACTGGGAATTCAGGAAGTTGATGAAAGTGATGGGCAGACGGAAGGCAGCACTCACTACATAAAAGGGATTTTTTTCAACTAAACCCAATCACTGAAATATGTAATTTCAACCTAATTTTCATTGTTTTTAAATTTGCTGCTTTTAATAAAATAATACCGGATGATCCTGCCATGAAGGTCCTTGTTCAGACACTTCCTGTTATAGGGAGTCAAAACTCTGTCTGTGCCGCCCCAATGGGGTATAGAATATGTTGTAGAAGTTAGTATAGATAGAAGTTTTACATAGTGTGTTTGCCTATATATTTTCTCATAGTTAAATCCATGTGTTATCCTATGCTGCCATCTAGTGGCCTTTTGTTGTAATGTACATGTTTTTCTGTAATTATTCCTCATGTGACGATGTATTTCCCCCTAGTGTACGCCCCTTCCTGCTTCCTGTGTGCAGTACTTCCTGTGTCATGGCACAGCTACTAGCCACATGTAACAAGGACACACATGTAATCTGCACAGTACGTAGGAAAGGCATCATTTTCTGACCGCACAATACTATAACCATTCAACTGCTGTTCCTATCATCTGCTGTAACCCTGATGTTAAAGAATAAACACCTCTTTTGAATGAATCGGTATTGACGAGTTCAGCTATCTGACGAGGATTGTCCGCAGTGAGTATATCTGCTTATACAGGCCAGGCATAGAGGTCTCAGCAAGGGATATATTTTGTTATCACAACAATCGGAGTCAGAATACTGTCCTTGTTTCCAATTGTGCGCCTGCCTTCTTTCACCCTGTCACATGGGTGTCCAAAGGAGGATACAATTGGCTGTTTCATCATTCAGGCATGGTCTATTGCTATCTCCATCAGCAAACCCACCCTAAGAAATGCAACGCAGCCATCGCTAGGATGCATGCATGTAGACAGGAAGTGGATACAATGAGGCTGCAGGACATCATCAGCACTGAGATGCTACAAGTGGTGGAAAAAAAGGTGAACACAAGTTCTTCAATGTGATACACAGTGCTGTAACAAAAAGGTCTGCATTAACACATTTAATTTAGTTAAGGAAGAACAACGGGCAAATCAAATCTTAACCCTTTCAGTGGGGGCTACCCCTGCACCTCAAGAGTTAGGTGCTTGTTTTGTCTAGGGAGCTAAAATAACCAGCTAAAATAATAAGTTATATTCACCCAAACTACAATCACGGCTTGCTCTTACAGCACTCCCTCCAGCTTGTCTCCTTCTCCACTCCAGCGATAGAATGTCCCACGGCATCCTCACCTCCAATACGCAGTATAGAACGTAATGACTCCCAGGACTGTAGACTACTGGAGCATAGGAGGCTGAAGGGACCAGTCTAAGAGCAAGCCAGGATCGTGGTCCGGGTGCGTATAACTTTATTTTAGCTCCTCAGACAAAACAAGCACTTAAAGTGACATCAAAGTCACATCCCATTCCACCCGCCCCCCCATTGCTGCTTTAAGGACTTACCTTAAATGATGCCTCTTGATCCGATCTTCTTCTGCCCAATAGTTTTTAGGAGTCCCTCCAGTGCTGGTACCAGTCTCTGATCCAGCGCTGACTGCTGTGTCCTCTGTGTCCCACAGGGTCTGTCTGCGTGCACATTGCTGGTTGCGGGTTGCATTGACCTACACTGCTTTTCTCCTCTGCTCCCCGCCGAAGATCTCTACTGTTCATGCGCCCGCTCCATGATCCTTCATGGCCGCTCAAAAATCTTCAGACGGGAGCGAGTTGCGGAGACACAGGTAAGTTTCTACCTATTTGGTAACTTTGAAAAAATATTTTTGCATATGTCCACTGCTTGCTAGTAGTAGATATATGCAAAAAAACCCTGCGTTTAATTCTACTTTAACCCTTGCAGTGCTGGGGTAGCCCCACTACAAGTGTTAAGATTTGATTTCCCTGGACTTCAGCTTTAAGGTTTCCATCTATAGATTTGGCCTCTATGAGTAAGCCTCAACGGTGAAATGCGTTACAGGATTCTTTGCACTGTGGAATGCTTCTGGGTCGTATATGTAGTTGTGGATTACAATAAATCTTGATTATCGGAAGATTCGTGGAGTGCGGCTTTTTTGGTCTGGAACTGTTGAAGGTTTACATCTATTTTAATCTGTCCGTACACAAAGAAATGGAAAACTCTGCCCATCCTCTTTAAGATCAATGTACAGCTGTATTCTCAGTGACTCTGCCCTGTGGCCAGTGACTGTGCCTTTTTGATACAATCACAATAAAGTAACAGTTTGCTGCTGCATGTAGATAAAAGGAATGATTCTTACAGGAGGGTGTACAATTCAGCAGCGCGTGGCAGAAATGTTGCATTAACTCAGCAAGACTTCCCGAATGGGTACATTGTACAAGCTACAGTGAGGAAGCATATTGATTTCATCTATGCTGGAGTGTGGCCAGCTTGTCTTATAGTTTTGCCTCACTGTCATTCTTTAGCATGCCCTATGTTGCACTGAATTCTTCCAAAGATACACATACTGGGAATATTTTTATGACACATGGCAGGCAATTTGGGGACTTATAATGATATACTTATGATTGCTCACACAGTGGGACGCAGTACATTATTATTCTGCATGTAGTGGAATTGTCTGCCCGCCTGTGCCTGCAATGGTCAATTTTACATCTCCGTTTTAAACTGGCTGGAAGCTGTGAGACTGATGTTGGATAATTTGGTTATTTGTGCTTTTCTTGCTTGTTAAAGGTTTTTCCATGTTCTATCCCACTCCTAATAACCATATCAATCCAGAAGTTTGTAAACTTACCTATTGAAGATACACTTGCTCAATGCAGTGACACAATTTCACTTAGCCCCGTGAATATGCACCTTTGTCACAACTCTGCTCACAAGCTGCTTTCTGAACTACAACTCAATGACTTAACACTGTAACATTATCATTGCTTAATGGATGCAATGCATTATGGGATATGTTTTCTTGAGAAATTGAGATGACATCACATCTAGCTGAAGGGAAAGAAATGCAAAGAACACTGGGAATCCAATGTGCTTTGTTGAAAGTGATGGGCAGACAGAAGGCAGCACTCACTTTATAAAAGAGATTTTTTTTTCAAGAAAGCTTTGATTGCATTATAAAAAAACAACTCTAGTATGTATTCCTATTGCAAGGATGGTGTTCTAACAGGATAGTGTATGCTGGAACTTTATAACTCCTTTAAAGAGAAACACACAACTGGGGATTAGAACACCTGTTCTATTGCTTTCTGTGTCCCCATTAGTAAGATTCACCCACCCTATTTGTTCTGGTGACCATTATCACTGAAAGTGAAAGAAAATCCCAATTTTAGGTTGTCATCAGAACAGGAATAGATGGGAAATCTTCCAATGAGGACACTAGTTCTGGGGACCTTTCTGACCACCAGGGATTTCCCTTTCTTTAAAGGGATTTCCATTCACTTCCTGTTGTGGCTATCAGATAGGAAGTGAAGGGAAATGTCCCCGGTGGGAAATGGATGGCAAAAAAATGAAAAAAAACTGATGGGGTTATAACACTCCCTTACTCTATCCAAAATTAAAAGAAATATTTGGGCTTAATTTCTCATTTAAGATGCTTCTTTTACAGGGTGTTGTTGTTTTATGTTTTCTTACAGTAATGACAGGAACGTTTTAATGTAAATAATATAATTTCCGACTGTTAGGCCCCTTTCAGACGGGCTTTGCGATCAGTTCTGCCTGTCAGTTTTTCAGGTGGACCCGATCAGATGCCCAATGTAGTTCTATGGGCAGCTGGATCTAAACAGATGGGTGTCTGTTTACATTTACAAAAAAACAAACTGAACAGTGTTCCGTTTGGCTGGACCAGATCACGTGTGATCGGAGGTAATCTAATGTAAATGGACACATGTCCGATTCCCCATAGACCGACATGGGGTCTGGTCAAAAACCTGCATGGAAACGAATGTCACTGCAATATTGTATATAAAGAGTGCAATGATCAAATTGTGAAACAGCGGGCATTTAGAAAAGTGAAAGCCTCATTAAAATGATTTTCAGGTGAATGTTACAATAATGACTCAAACTGTGAACTTACTCATAGTAAATTATAGCTTCCGTTAAAGCCCTACATGGCGCAGTTATATATAGCAAGTTTCAGAGTCGTGTCATTACTTCGAAATATTAGGCAGTATGCTGCTGGCCTCACATCTAAATCTGTTTACCGCACACAAACAACACACACACCAGCACAGGCTCACAAATGAGCAATACTAATGCAAATATCAGGCTGCTGAAAAACAGACATCTGGCACCAAGAATATGCCATATGGAAAGAGGTGTGACAGCCCACTCTTGTTTATATATGATCGGCTTCTGGAAATGCAACACAACAGTTAGCGGGTTAGTGCACCTGCACCAGCAATCTCCAGCAGCAGCGAGAAGGGTGTGTAGAAATGGCGACATGATGTGAGCCAGAGTGATAAACAACAAATAGTCACATTGTCCATGAGCATATCATTCTCTTTGTCAATGAAAAATTGTAGAGTCAAAACAAATTGATTTAACATGGACCAATAATCAAAAGGTGCTTAGGCCCTCCTGTTCTGTAACCTTATATAATATAAGATCATTTAGGGCACTGCAGCCTCTGACTACAAGTCTCATTAGATTTGAGTGAGATACGGTGATGTCAATACTGTGTAGCTCACTGTTATCCATGCTGGAGATGAAGCAGTATATATGCACCTGCAGTGCAAGAGTCTACCTGCTTCTGCTTCATTCTTTTAGTTGATCTGTGCTGCCTCCACCTCTCCTGCTGCTCCTTGATCATTGCCTCACCAGCCATCAGGGAGACAAAGCCCTACCTCAAAGATGTCCAGCTACACAATGAGACACAATGCCGGGACAAGACATGGTCAGCAATGGGAAAAGAATCAGCTGCAGGAGAGTCTGCAGGTAATACTGGTGGATAGACATTTGCCCTCCACAACTGCAGTAAGACCCAAAGCCTTGAAATGCATTTAGAGATTACAGCATACCTACTGCCTTTAATTTTGTATAGAGGCATAATTGTAGAGCACTACACCACCCACCCCCATGTGTCAGTCACCTGACAGTTTTGTAATCCCTTTTGAATACCCAATTAAAATTTGCTGTTTGGTGCTGGTTGTCTCTGACATACAGAAAACCGAATGTCTCAGTGTCAGTACTATAAACTTCTCTTAGTTACACACTCAAACAGGCCCTAAATATGTAATCTGATTGGTGATAAATGAAAAAAGAACACAGTTACACAGCAATTAATTATAATACACAGTGCTTTAGTCGTCATTTGGTTAGGGATACTTTAACCACTTCCTGATCAGGTCAGGTAATTTTTCAGTATTCAGCGCTGCGGTACTTTGACTGACATTTATTCCGTCATGCAAAGCTGTACTGAAATGAATGTTATACCATTTATTGGGGACACATAGAGCTTTCTTTTGGTGGTATTTAATCACCACAGGGTTTTTTTTTTTATTTCTTACTATGTTTAGGAAAAATTACAGAAAATTTTTAAACATTTGTTTTACATTATGTTAGGAAACAATTGTTGTTATTAACCAATTTTCTGGTAAAAATATAAAAGACGGGGTCACATCGGGTAAATAGACACCAACCATGTCAAGCCTTAAAATTGCGCACACCTGCGAAATCGCAAAAAAACGTGTGTTTTTTAAAAATTCTTTTTCATGTGTGACTTGACTATGTGTTATCACATAGGGGGCTAAGAAACTCTCTATGTGATAGCAAAGAGGATGTGACAGGTCCTCTTTATGGAGACAACAGGGGTCTCCAAAACCCCTAATGTCACCTAGGCACCCCCAAAGAAGCTGATGAAACAGAGATTTGCTTCATTAGCTTCTTTCCAGCTTCTGAAACCGGAGAGTGACAGCAGAATGCGGAAGTGATGTAATATACATCACTTCCGCATTCTGACACCGGACAGGGGATCGGAGGGAGATCGTGTACCGTTCTCCCTCTGATCCCCTGTCACAGAGCCAGCGTGCTGGTCCCGGGCATCGCTGCCGGTTTTTAAATTTTGGCAGTTTCCTGCACGGCGCGCACGAGTGGCGGGGCCAACAGGCCGTCTTTTGACGGCCACTTACATCAAAGAAGCTCCTGGCTGGCGGTTTAATCATAACAGACGGCCGGGAGGCGGTTAAATTCACATTTAAGGCATTCTATCTAACTTCTGCTCACATGCTCTAAATTATGATGCATAATAAAAAAAAAACCATTAGTCAGTCTATTCTACTATATTGTGCTGTAATCTTCTATTGCACTGTATAACTACCTTGTGTGGAGAGTGAATGACAGAAATTTAACATTCATGGTTACCTTTATAAATCATACAAACAGAAAGCTTACCTCAATTTCCAGGTCTTGACTTTTAGGATTGTGGACATTGAAGGTGAATGTCTGTTCCCAGACTGGCTCGATGGTCTTGTATTTGACCTGTTGAGTAAAGACAAGTGTAAAAAACTATACCTGAGTACTCACTGTATATTGTTTTCTTGTAGTCCATTGAAGGACACAGGACCATTGGGTATACTGCAAACAAAAAACCTGTAGACTAGCCCATGATAACCTTTTATATAACCAACATACCTCAATTTTTTTAAACTAGCTTTGGCCATTGACCCACATAGCCCCTCCCTCGGAATACCTCTCCACCAAACGCAGGCTCCCTCTCAGCTCTGACCTCTCCGGACGGAAGCGTGACAGCATGGCGGGCGGTAAGTGTTGACAGTCTCTTCTCCCTGCTGGTGCTGGCTGCAGCGGTCTGTGTCCCTTTCACAGCCAGCACGAGAAGAGAGAAGAGACTCCGGCTGTGAACTCCCCCGCTGCCCCCCTGCCCCTGTACCTTAGCTGCTGTTGCTCCTCCGTCCTTCCGTGTCCCCTCCTTTTCAACTTGATGAAGCGGTTTCCTTTTGGTGATATATCAAAAAGTGTGAGATGTCCGTGCTCCTTATGTGTAATGCATTCACTCTCAATTAAGGAGAAAATGTCCGTTCAGTGTGCTCACGGGGGAGGAGAGGAGAGAAGCTGTAAATCTTGCCTTCACACAGAATGGACCTTCTCTTCTTTCATTGAGAGGGAAAACTTCTGTGTACGTCTGGTGAGGGCATTATTAAACACATAAGGAGCATGGACAGGTGACACTGAGATATATCACCAAAAGCAAACCTTTTAATCAAGTGGAAAAGGAATCAACACTTGTAACAATAGCCAGCCTGCTATTGGATATTTTAAATTGCAATAGCCAATAGCAGGCCCATTGCCTGCTGTCAATCAGCAGAGAGGACCTGATTGAGAACCTAATCGGCAAGTACATGAGGGACAGTACTTGGTCTTGAAAAAGTGGTATCGGGACATCTCTAATTCCGACTATGAGCTTGGATGATAGTCTGCATGAGCCACTTAAAAGATGGTGGAATGAGAAGCCAGTGTACCCTTATGGGGTCCATCTGGGATTACAAAAAAATGAATCAGTCTGCCTAAAAGAAGCAGTGGCTGAAATATAAGACTTTCAGAGCCCAAACTAAATCCAGACAATGGGGGATACATTCCTTTGGTTAATTAGAGCCAGACAGAGGGATGGAAGAACAATGTTCTGGTTAATGTCAAAGGCAAAAACTAACTTAGGCAAGAAGGAAGAACTCTACCTCAATACTACCCTGTCCTTATGCAAAATCAAAAAGGGTTCCATGCAAGATAAGGCTGACAGCTTAGACACTCACGTCACAGAGGTGACGGCTACAAGAAACACCATCTTGTGGGTACAAGTAGAGAAAGGAATGTCTCTAATGGGTTTGCACTGGTTTATTACACACAGAGAACCAGAATGAGATCTTAACAAAACAAAGCTGTGCAAAAAATATCCATCCTCCTAGGACCATAGCAAAACAACTGAGGCATGCATGTAGTGGCAGGGGTTATCCTGGGATGACCTACAGTTTGTTTACCAGTGTCCAATCCACCTGTAGAAGGCAGTAAACCTTAATGACTTTCAATGTCCTTTGATAGATTACACACAAAAAATATATTTTTGACTCATCCATAAAGGCATATTTTAGTATGCTCAGATTTTTACTATTACTGTTCATATTTTTTTTTAGGTAATAACATGGAAAATAGCACAAAATCTACAAACTTTGCAAACAAAGATAAGTGCACAGTACCTTCCCTTTGACTTCTATGGGGTTCGACTTCCAGCCAGGTGATGGATGTAGACAAGCCCTATAGAAGTCAATGAGGATGTACTGCGGAGAAGCAGGCATCTGCTACAGGATGTAAATTAGCGAAGGCCAGGCCATCTGAACTCGGTAAGTATGCATCTGTGCGTTTTTATGGTTTAAGATGCCAATGCTGCAGTGTATGTCCTTTTGTTTAATCTAGAAAACAGTTGGTCCCCCTGCACTCCTTACAGTGCTTCCGGTCCAAGTGAAAATAGTGGTGCTTGCAGTGACAATCACGGATGAAGCCGTGTACAACAGTCAATGAACAAAAAGAAAGCACCAACACTCCATAAATGAAATAAAAAAAAAGTCAATTTATTTGGACTAAACGTCACACATCGCATAATCCAACGCTTCGGGACCACACAGGGTCCCTTCATCAAGGCAGAGATGCGACGGTGCACATTTACGGAGTGCTGGTGATTTCTATTGTTCATTGACTTTTGTGTAATCTTTCTTTTTTTGTCTAAACTGTTAAAAACGTTAATAAAAATGATCTGATTTAAAAAGTATGCATCTGTGCAGGGGAAGGGAGGGATCGCTGACATCATCTTAAGGGGGGACAAAAGGATAAGTGCACTTTGTTTTAACCGATTTGTCCAGAGCAATTTATTTTTTGCCTGAACATGTTACAATCTGAATTTGTGGCTAGAAAACTGCTTAAAACCCCCAAACAATTATATGTTTTCTAAAAAGCAAAGGCTAGTTGCAATTTTTTATGTTGCACTATATTTGCAAACATTTTTAACAAATCAAATTTTTAGGAAACAATACACTAACATTTATTTTAGTGAACACAAACAGAACATAATAAGCATTTTTTGGTAATTTATGAAAGATGGGGTTGTGTTGGGTAAATGGATACCAAACATGCCAAGCCTTAAAATTGTACGTGAAATGGCAAAAAGCTAGAGTACCCAAAATAGCCTGTAGGCAATTCTTTAAAAGATTTGACCGCTCATTGATTGAAAGGTAACAGTGAGTGATGGCACTAAAACTATTGCCGCTGTTTGCGGCGTTAGGTAACATGTGTTGCACAACTGGAGTTTTCGCTAGTAGGTGCACCTGTTTGCTTTTATATATGTATACGTGGGGGTGAGGGCTTTTAAAAAAAAAAAAATTTAATTTGTTTTATGGTCACTGATTTTGTTAAAACTTTTTTTTACATTTTACTTTATTGGTCAGCACAGAGGAAGTGACAGGTCCTCTTTATGGTGACATCAAGGCTCTATTAGAGCCCTAATGTCACCTAAGGACCCCACAGAAGCTGATTAAGCACAGATTGTGCTTGGAATCATGAAAGCTTCCAGGTTCAGTAAGTGGAGAAGTCAGCCACTGGAACTGTGCTGATCTCCCTCTGAACAAGCCATAAACACCCATCATGCCAGCCCTGAGCATGCATGGGGGAAAAGAAGATCCCAGGATAGCCAGTAGCAGTGTGGGGGGGCGTACACTTTTTAGCAGCATACAAGTGATCGGACAATCACTTATATGTGAAAGCCGACAGTCGGCTAAAAACAGTGATAGCAAGATCACGGTATAACAACCTCAAGACCGCACCATTTATATTACGGTCATGCAGTGGTTAAAATAACTTACCTTTTAATGCATAACAAGTAAATCGTAATGAATGTCAACACATTGCCAATATCCTTATTTCTTTTTCTCAAAGTATACTCTGTTGCCACCTTGTGTTTATTTCTGGGATTTCTCTCACTGAACCTTTCACCTGTATTATAGCAGCAAAGCAATCCTTGTACCCCGCAAATTCATTTTTAATAGTCCCAGGCAATTGGAGGTATCTGATCATTGGTTTAAGGGTCTAAACCAAAGTACTACAACTCATCACAGAACTTCAGAATTATTGCCATTTTAATAAACTCTGTAATTATTCTTGTAAATCTATTTTTTTTATGCAAAATTCCTCCCAAAACTGATAACAATGTGTTAATTCCCCCAATCTACAGAAATTGTAAAATAAGAATACATGTGTGTAGCCAACTTAAATTAAAGAATGTGTGAGAGCATGGTGGTTTATAGGGGGTTCACCTAAAATGTACACAGGGGACTAGGGACATTATCATATCTTGGTAGGCATCTTCTCTATTACAGACCATTTGCAGCAAACATTTTTTTTAAATGAAGTAAGGTTTACAACATCGTTGTTTTGACACCCATTAAACAGCCAGGAAATTGAAGCTTTTCCCTCACTTTCTGATCTGTCAAATAAGACAGAAAAAATAGGTACAACGACAACAATAAAAATGTCACAAAGGACCCACTTAGAAAATACCCTTGCCTTGTTCGTATTGCAGCCTAACAACCTTCCCAAGGAGCAATCCAAAAATAAATCCTTCACAATTAACTTTGTAAATGCAGCACGATTCTGCATATCCTACCTCTGGAGGCAAACTACCCCGTCTTCCATATGGTTTGGTGAAATTAATATTATTATTCTAATGGAAGATATCTGTATGCTGGTTATCATTTAACCAAGATGATACATTTCAACATGCTTGGTTTTACTGGATCCTATTGAAATGGTAACCTTAAACTCCAAAACACCTAGAAATATAGGGTCCTACTGGCTAACCAAGCACAACTAGTACTGATACCTTACAAAATAAGGTAACAAATGATGGCCTAATAGGGCCTCTAAATCTCCCTGTCTCTCAACTGACCCTTCTCTTTTTTTAATTTCTCTACATCTTTAATACACTATAATTACACATTTCCCCCTTTTAAACTCACAATACAACCTCCCCCGGGTCCTCCCTGGCCTTGATGTTACCTTGAAATGCAAATGGGAATAATTCATTGTCTTTTACATCTGGTTTTCACAGATGCTCCATAAACATGTATGCTCTCATTCAATGCATGCGTTGTATTACTCAAATGAGTTATACATTTTACCTACCTCTGTAATGCCTTGCCCTTGTGACATCTAATGTTAACTGGATGTTTCCAGGTGAATAAATTGTATTAAAGGAGAACTATGAGGTGAGTGCTTTTCACTCACCTCATAGTTCTAGCCGACCTGTGACAATGAGACTGTCACAGATCGGCTCAGTAGATCGGGAGGTGAGCGAACACATACTGGGTTCGCTCACCTCTCGATCCTGTCACGGCTCTCTGCCGTGACAGGGGGAGGGGCTGTATTCCCCTCTCCCCGCTCCGATCTGCCAGCACTGACTGGCGGAACAGACGGGGAGGGGGCTGGTACAGTTGGCTCTGCCTCTAGATAGGCAGAGCCAGCTGTCACTCATGCAGCTGGGCGGATCCCGTCGTCTAAGTCGGGATCCGCTCCGGCTGCGGCGTCTCAGTATACCGGGAGCTGCAGCTCGCGGTATACTGAGCTTAGGGTAACGGGAGGACGCTAGTTTGTGTCCTCCCGTTACCCTAAGGAGAACTATGGGGAAAAACACTGACCCCATAGTTCTCCCTTAATGAATGAATTAATTAATTTAAAGAAAGGTTAACATAGATGATAACTCTTATCCAATCTACTCAAAATTAAAGGAAGAGGTCTTAGGTGCAGTCAGTTTCCTATACTCATGTCTTTGTTACACACTAGGTGATCACGCTTTCTCACTCTTTGTCCCAGTGTATACAGAGGAAGACCTTTTTAGGCCAGGAGGTGCGGGGGGAACCTTGTCAAGTATGTGATCTCTGGCACTGGTTTCTCATGACACAACCCATCAGATTAGAAGAACCTCAGTACATGTGCATACAAATCCCTGCAGGACACATAACAGTAATGAAACATCTAAGTGTCACTCACTCACCTTACTTTCCTGTACATTATGGCCCAGAGAAAACAGCACAAAGGGATTAGGCGTGCTGCCAATCTTCTTTCCTGACTGTGGATGGAAACGAGAGGCTTACAGTAAAACACATTTGGTGTTAGCTTATTAACAAAGCTAGTTATTAGATTAACCGCACACGTACCAAGACATCATTAAAATCTTCCCACATTATTATGTGAGGGACGATATATAGCGATTCTTGAAGTATAGAATACAACATATTTTTGTTGCCATAGGAACACAACAATATCAAATAATAAAAAATAATTAGTAAGCTCATGCATGTTAACACCGGGAAAGGTTTTATATGATGCAGAAATTAAAATGTACAGAGCCTAAAGGGCACAATTGTACATTCATGGAAAGAAAAATTGGCAGTAAATAAAAAGGTGAAAAAAATAAAGGGACTGCAGCAGGAAGTTCCTGTTTTAAGTTACACTCTTCTACTGTGATGGGAGCAAAGTCATGTCATCTGTCTGTTTATAAGTGCAACTTCTACAGACACTATTATCAGGGGCCAGACCAGTGTTCGCACGCCAATCACTTTACTAAAAACTGAACTTATTCGAGCCAAGGGGCGCTAAGCTCCCCATTTTAACAATTGGGGGCAAGATGGGCAAATGCAATAGATACAAAACCAGTTTTGTTCAAGATTTAAGGTGCCCATACACTGCTCGATTCTCGTACGAGAATCGAGCGAAATCCCGCGATCGTACGAGAATCGAGCAGTGTGAACTAAGACGTGCGACCGTTTCTACTGTACGGTCGCACGTCTTTTGTCGAGCCAACATGCTCGAAAACCTGCCGAGAATCGTACGATTCTCGGCGGGTTTCTAGCCTGCTCGCCCGATAGCTGCGGAACGGGCCGGTGTGCGCACGCAATCGCAAGACAAAAGTCTTGCGATGGTCGTAAGGTGTATGGGCACCTTTAGTCTAGACTATGTTCCCTTGATTTACTAAAGGAGAAGATTCTGTAAAAGTTAGTAATTAAAGCAGAACTCAGCCCTGATTTGAAAAACCTGTGAGCAGGAAGGATTTGTATTGCAGATGGGACACACTATATCTCTTCTGCAATAAAATGTTATCTTCCTTCTCACGCGATGCTTTAGAGCATATATCCTTGGTACATCTTGGTGTCAGGGTGAATGAACTCCCATGTGCATGCACGGGAGTTATGTCATCCAAGCATGGTCAATTAAGATGGCTGAAGACCTCGAACACAGAAGAAGCCGGGGAGAAGATGTTGGCATCAGCAAGGGAGTTTGCAGATGATACATCGCAGGAGAGGAGGTGAGTATTGAAGGTTTAGTTCCACTTTAAAGTGAACCTGTGTTGACTTTGAATGTCCAATCATGTGTGACTGAAATTGAAATAGGACTTTTAGTAAAACATGATTGGAAGATTGCACATCTGTAAACACAGCTTCACCTCATTCACTAAGCTCAGCAAACATTTACTGGGCAAAGTAAACAGTCTCTATGCCTTTACAAAATCAACCTCACAGTCTTTACCTATTGTAGTATCGAGTAACAATATTTCAATTTTCAATGTACTAAGAATACTTCCTTTATCTTTGTAGTCACCTGATTATCTGATTATTAATGCGCAGCTGATATTTTTCACTACTAGACAAAGGAGCAGAGTAGAAAGGTAGGTACGGACATTGATGTCCTCATGTATGAAGTGTCGCTCTGTACAACCACCAATGTATTCTGGAAGTGTGATGTAGAGCCTCATCCATTTTACATTTTGTATGTAATTATGGCAATATCAGGAGGTTAGGTTGTAGGAGAGTCTGGAGCCTGTCACACTGATGTAATTTAAAAGGACAGGGCAGCTGGTATATATACCCATGGAGCAGAATAGATGTAGGTTCATAACATGAATATATGTTATGTTTTGCCTTCCCTGGATCCTCCTTTCCCTCCTTCATTAACATGTTAGTCACGTTTTTAAATGAAACCTTTCCATTTTCATGACATACCGCGATCTCTATGCTTCTCTATGCAATACAGTCAGATCATAGCTGGTGGGAGGGATGGTAGGGTGCTGTAGAAAGTTTCCTGAAAAGATCCTTGCCTCAGTACTCCTCTCAAAATCCCAAAGCCCTGATGAGGGTTGGCTCTTGGGAGGAGCTGTGCAAATATTAAAATGCTTTGATTGGTGGACATTAGTCTGGAGGTCTGTGAGTTCCTATGCAGACTGTATTTGCATGCAGACTGCACTAGGTAATGTCCCCATGTGATGCTGAACCTTCATAATTAAAAGAACTGAAATCCAATGGATGAAAGGGGTGGACCAGGGAGAGAAGACCATTGTTCAGATATTCAGTTTGCTAGATCTGGAATAATAACATCACTGCAGTATACAGATGTGAAGGAAGCGATATCTCGGAAGCAACCAATCAGAGCCTTCTTTCACAATCCGATATTGCAGTGGACACACAAAAGAAAGAATATTGACATTCTTCCCTGATGAACAAGCCCAAAGTGTGTTCTGATTCACTGATGTCACTGACAGCACATGAACTGAAACGCTGCACTGTGTATATCGGCTGCAGGTGACTGACACACTTCAGTATATAAACTGCCATGTCGAGTCTGTCTGTACAAGCTACGCTAATCGCATGACATACACTTTTTTGTCACACATGAGCTGTTTGATTCAATTTTTAGGCTCTGGAGGATTGAACTGTGATGGTTACCTTTTTAGCTTTGTCAACGGCAGACTTCTTCATGCCATCCTGGTTAATTTCTAATGGATTATTCTTATAATAGGGAAAAATGAACACACGTAGGGTTAATAAACCATGCTATGAAGGTGCTCTTGCAGGTTAACCACAGGAGGTCACAATAACAACAGACAGAACAACACGAGACACAACAAAGACACCGCAGGAGAGATGGTTTCCAAAAAAATGCAAATTAAAGACACAATAGGACATCTGTGCAGATCACTGTAAGGTGCAACAGAGAAAAGCTAAACATTACAAAAAACATATTGTAAGTGTTAGAAATAAGTCACACATTGTCATTCTACAAGCCCATATGTAGAAGGTATGCCCTATATCTGTGACCTGAAAACTACTGGGTACATATGAACTAAAGTAGAATGTATACTGGATAGAGAGTGGCTTAAAGTGAACCTGAGACCAGGCTATGGACGTTCAAACATTTATATATTATTAGGAAGAAGTAAATACGTTTTAAAAGCAGTCCTCACTGACCGCTGCAGGCACGGAGCAGCAATTCATCCTCAAAGTTTACAGCAGAGACACTGATGTCAACAAAGTTAGTTTCCTCAGTAGCTCAGCTCACACTGCTCCCATTCCCACAGTAGCTCAGCTCACCCTGCTCCCATTGCCGCTGCAACTGCTATGTGTTTATATTGGAGATTAGAAGGCTGGAAGGCTGCTAAAGCACTAAGCTGAGCTGCTGAGAGATTAAATGAGTTCAGTGCTTCTGCTGTAAACTTTGAGGATAGATTGGTCCAAAGACCGACTGCAGCTACAAATGCTTCAAAGACCTACTGCAGCTACAGATGCTTCAATCACCTACTGCAGCTATAGATACTTCAATCACCTACTGCAGCTATAGATGCTTCAATGACCAACTGCAGCTACAGATGCTTCAACGACCTACATCTCTGCAATCATTCATTCGTACTGACATGTGGTCTTCACTAACGCTAGTCTCTGCTTATGCTTACTCTGAATTGGCCAGGTTTATGACAGGTTAGGCTTGAATAGAACAGTTTTTCATTAGATTCATAGCTATATTGTAATGTGTGGGATGTTAATGCCTTTTTATTTTCAGAGTGTTGGCACTAGGCTAACTTGCCATCTACTGTCTTTCAGTTTGACTGCAGCTATCTGAAAAACCTTGCCAAACCACTACAGAGTATAACGTCCATTTTTAATAACAAAAGTCGCTGCACAAAGCTGGGAAATCAGATGCAAGGATCTCACTACCCAGTCCAGAAATATTACTTAGCAGCTAATTCAACCCACTGACATCCAACAAACACTGAGATATCAGCCTGGGCTGTACCGACCTTCGAAATGTATCTGATCCCATGAACAAAAATAAGATATACTGCAGCTTACCAGTATATAGGTGTGGTGGCTGCATTAGTCTCATTTTCAGGCTTTTTCCCCCTTTATTTTTACCTAGTGATCCTGCCAGTAACATAATTCCTGTCCTAGGTCAACAATGCTCACTCATCATACTGTACCTATGTAGACGCAGTGTTGTCACCTTAAAGAGAAGTAAAGCCCAAAACTTTTGTTTTACTGATGTACTCCTGTGACCCAAAGTCAGCATATAGTGAGTTACTGAAGCAGTCAGGATACTGATGCGGTCAGGATACACCCTGTTGTCTGATTGACAGCTGGCTCTGCATCTCTAAAACCAAATCCAGCTGTGCCCGCCCCCTCCCCTGTCTGTCTCTCCAATAAGAGCTGCAGAGGGGGCGGAGAGGAGAGAATCCCTGCGGGGAGCAGTGACTAACAGTCACCGCTCTCTGCAGGGAGAAGCCATGAGTTGAGCGATCAGTGGTTCATGATCATTCAGCTCTCGGTATATAGAGCCGGCAGGTGACAGCTGCAGTGTCACACGCTGGCTCTAAGCTGCTCTCCTGCTCTGAACTACAAACGCCTCCTCCTTCTTCCATCTCCATAACATATGGAGAAGGTTTTGTAATTCACAGGAGAGATCTGGGAGCACTGATAACATGTTTGACATTTCAGGTCAATGCACAGGAAGTTAATTGCACATCGGGTTGCTGGTAGGTATTTTCTGTACTAAGGACTGGTAAGCGGCAATAAATTACATTGTTGTTCTTGGTTTCTGATACGCTTTGAAAAGTAAAACATGCATTTCAAAATGCTAGTCTACTTTGATGTTTGCTGAGAATTCACTGAAAACTGCAGGACAATTTTTTACCAGCAATAGGTAGTGTGCCGCAGCCCAAGACCGTCAAAGCTATATTAAAACCAATCATTTACTGTGATTGCCATGATTTGATGCACAGTCATTTTTAAATTGTTGGTATTGGAATCAATATTGTGGACATGCTGAAAAAACCATGCACTGTTGCCACACATGCATGTCTATTGCCGCAGCCGCCGCCCAGGAACTCACAAATAAGGTTCTATACATTGAAGAAGTGTTTTCACAAAAGATCAGTCCAGAAGCTTTCCGCTCTTTTAGGAAGCCACAACCCAAGTTCCCCTCGTAGATGCTCTTGGAAGGTGAGAATGAAGCAATGAAGCAAAGAATGACCAAAGCAAAGCAAAACAAACAACAAAAGAAAATGATAATTACAAAATAAGCATGTGAGCAAGCAAACAAAAGACATAGCATGGAGATTCTGAAAAAAACAATGAATTCAGCAGAGCAGCAACAACTAATACCATGTAAAGCTCAGAGAATAGAAATCGTTCTGTGAAACATGTGTGAGCACTAATAAATGAGAAATAAATAAAAGAAAATGAATTAAACATGATGACTGACAGCCGCCAATGAATATGGAATGGAAATAAGACATCCCATTGGAAATCAAACAAAAAGAAAATGGTAATCTGTCTTTCTACTTTGTGTTTCACAGATACCATATAAGACGATGCTGAAATATGTGAGGCCTTCAGGCTGGCCGTGGGCACTCATGCAAAGCAAATATCAATAGGCTTGTGTATTAACGGAACGCCTTTACCCAGAACTATCTTTGCCCTTTAGAGTGACCTATCTACCTATCCCATACAGCATTGCTTAGTCTCCTAAGTGTATGTCATACTTCAGTGAGTCACTTCTGTGATATGATCCATGATTACCCGCCCAAAATGAAACCATACTTGCTTGGTGCTTGCTTGCTTGATGCTTATATGAATTATATGCCTTTGGAATGAATGGTATTTACCAAAATGTATCTTTTCTTTTTGACCAGACTTATGTGCAAACACGTCCCAGAAAGCAATGCCAGAAGACTCCCTACTTGAACCTAAACTATCATATGAATCCATTCAGATTATTCTCTGAACAAGTCGTCTGACATACTGCCATTAACAGAATATAGGACTATGTAGAGGATAGACACTAAGACAAGAGTACAGTTTAATGAACAATGAATATAACAACATCCCAAGAAAAGAGAATGTGATTACTGAGAATAGTCTGTGTGAAGAAAGATGAGAGATATATCACTGGAGAGAAGAGAACACCACGCTCAGGCCAATAGCGACCTAAGTCACTTACAGGCAGGTTTCTAGCAGAATCCAGGTACAGGACGAGCAGAGCTGCAGAGAGACCATCATTTGCCTGATCCTTATCAGCTTTAATGCTTGACAGCACCTGCAAAAAAAATACATGGGAAAGCCTTGGTTACACGCATACAGACTAATGTTTGTTATCTGTATTTGCATAAAACACAGCAACTTAAAGCAGAACTCTGGTTACATTTTATATTAACCCTTGCAGTGGGGCTACTCCCTCAATGCAAGGGTTAAGTGCTCGTTTTTGACTAGGGTAAAAAATAAAAAGTTATACTTGATATACTGAGCCAGCTTGCTCTTACCCCGGTCCCTGGAGTCCCTCTCCCCCTCCACTGCAGCGGTCTATTGAGTCATCACGTTCTATACACAATGTAAAGGACAGGAGGATGCCAAGGGACATAGCATCGCTGCAGCGGAGGAGACCGTCTGGGGGGAGCAATGTCACAGCTGGCCGGCTCAGAGGATCGGGTCAGTATACCTTTATTTTTGACCCTAGGCCTACACACATGATTTTATTAGGTAAGGTATCTGTAGAACAATTAAAAATCCAACTCCAGCCATTTTTTTTTTTTAGTTTTGGATAGAGTTTCTATCAGTTTTTTTTTAATTTTTGGTTATGATCTCAGTGGGGAGATTCTCCCTCACTTTCTGTGATGCCCATACAAGAAATGGGGGATGCAGTTGCTACTGGCACATAAAAGTATGGGCAGCAATAAAGACATTGTCAGAAGTTCTTCCTCATTTTGCTTTTTTTTTTTTGGTTTGAATCCCCTGTGAAGAGATTTCCAAATCAACCCACTGACATCCAACAAACACTGAGATATCAGCCTGGGCTGTACCGACCTTCGAAATGTATCTGATCCCATGAACAAAAATAAGATATACTGCAGCTTACCAGTATATAGGTGTGGTGGCTGCATTAGTCTCATTTTCAGGCTTTTTCCCCCTTTATTTTTACCTAGTGATCCTGCCAGTAACATAATTCCTGTCCTAGGTCAACAATGCTCACTCATCATACTGTACCTATGTAGACGCAGTGTTGTCACCTTAAAGAGAAGTAAAGCCCAAAACTTTTGTTTTACTGATGTACTCCTGTGACCCAAAGTCAGCATATAGTGAGTTACTGAAGCAGTCAGGATACTGATGCGGTCAGGATACACCCTGTTGTCTGATTGACAGCTGGCTCTGCATCTCTAAAACCAAATCCAGCTGTGCCCGCCCCCTCCCCTGTCTGTCTCTCCAATAAGAGCTGCAGAGGGGGCGGAGAGGAGAGAATCCCTGCGGGGAGCAGTGACTAACAGTCACCGCTCTCTGCAGGGAGAAGCCATGAGTTGAGCGATCAGTGGTTCATGATCATTCAGCTCTCGGTATATAGAGCCGGCAGGTGACAGCTGCAGTGTCACACGCTGGCTCTAAGCTGCTCTCCTGCTCTGAACTACAAACGCCTCCTCCTTCTTCCATCTCCATAACATATGGAGAAGGTTTTGTAATTCACAGGAGAGATCTGGGAGCACTGATAACATGTTTGACATTTCAGGTCAATGCACAGGAAGTTAATTGCACATCGGGTTGCTGGTAGGTATTTTCTGTACTAAGGACTGGTAAGCGGCAATAAATTACATTGTTGTTCTTGGTTTCTGATACGCTTTGAAAAGTAAAACATGCATTTCAAAATGCTAGTCTACTTTCATGTTTGCTGAGAATTCACTGAAAACTGCAGGACAATTTTTTACCAGCAATAGGTAGTGTGCCGCAGCCCAAGACCGTCAAAGCTATATTAAAACCAATCATTTACTGTGATTGCCATGATTTGATGCACAGTCATTTTTAAATTGTTGGTATTGGAATCAATATTGTGGACATGCTGAAAAAACCATGCACTGTTGCCACACATGCATGTCTATTGCCGCAGCCGCCGCCCAGGAACTCACAAATAAGGTTCTATACATTGAAGAAGTGTTTTCACAAAAGATCAGTCCAGAAGCTTTCCGCTCTTTTAGGAAGCCACAACCCAAGTTCCCCTCGTAGATGCTCTTGGAAGGTGAGAATGAAGCAATGAAGCAAAGAATGACCAAAGCAAAGCAAAACAAACAACAAAAGAAAATGATAATTACAAAATAAGCATGTGAGCAAGCAAACAAAAGACATAGCATGGAGATTCTGAAAAAAACAATGAATTCAGCAGAGCAGCAACAACTAATACCATGTAAAGCTCAGAGAATAGAAATCGTTCTGTGAAACATGTGTGAGCACTAATAAATGAGAAATAAATAAAAGAAAATGAATTAAACATGATGACTGACAGCCGCCAATGAATATGGAATGGAAATAAGACATCCCATTGGAAATCAAACAAAAAGAAAATGGTAATCTGTCTTTCTACTTTGTGTTTCACAGATACCATATAAGACGATGCTGAAATATGTGAGGCCTTCAGGCTGGCCGTGGGCACTCATGCAAAGCAAATATCAATAGGCTTGTGTATTAACGGAACGCCTTTACCCAGAACTATCTTTGCCCTTTAGAGTGACCTATCTACCTATCCCATACAGCATTGCTTAGTCTCCTAAGTGTATGTCATACTTCAGTGAGTCACTTCTGTGATATGATCCATGATTACCCGCCCAAAATGAAACCATACTTGCTTGGTGCTTGCTTGCTTGATGCTTATATGAATTATATGCCTTTGGAATGAATGGTATTTACCAAAATGTATCTTTTCTTTTTGACCAGACTTATGTGCAAACACGTCCCAGAAAGCAATGCCAGAAGACTCCCTACTTGAACCTAAACTATCATATGAATCCATTCAGATTATTCTCTGAACAAGTCGTCTGACATACTGCCATTAACAGAATATAGGACTATGTAGAGGATAGACACTAAGACAAGAGTACAGTTTAATGAACAATGAATATAACAACATCCCAAGAAAAGAGAATGTGATTACTGAGAATAGTCTGTGTGAAGAAAGATGAGAGATATATCACTGGAGAGAAGAGAACACCACGCTCAGGCCAATAGCGACCTAAGTCACTTACAGGCAGGTTTCTAGCAGAATCCAGGTACAGGACGAGCAGAGCTGCAGAGAGACCATCATTTGCCTGATCCTTATCAGCTTTAATGCTTGACAGCACCTGCAAAAAAAATACATGGGAAAGCCTTGGTTACACGCATACAGACTAATGTTTGTTATCTGTATTTGCATAAAACACAGCAACTTAAAGCAGAACTCTGGTTACATTTTATATTAACCCTTGCAGTGGGGCTACTCCCTCAATGCAAGGGTTAAGTGCTCGTTTTTGACTAGGGTAAAAAATAAAAAGTTATACTTGATATACTGAGCCAGCTTGCTCTTACCCCGGTCCCTGGAGTCCCTCTCCCCCTCCACTGCAGCGGTCTATTGAGTCATCACGTTCTATACACAATGTAAAGGACAGGAGGATGCCAAGGGACATAGCATCGCTGCAGCGGAGGAGACCGTCTGGGGGGAGCAATGTCACAGCTGGCCGGCTCAGAGGATCGGGTCAGTATACCTTTATTTTTGACCCTAGGCCTACACACATGATTTTATTAGGTAAGGTATCTGTAGAACAATTAAAAATCCAACTCCAGCCATTTTTTTTTTTTAGTTTTGGATAGAGTTTCTATCAGTTTTTTTTTAATTTTTGGTTATGATCTCAGTGGGGAGATTCTCCCTCACTTTCTGTGATGCCCATACAAGAAATGGGGGATGCAGTTGCTACTGGCACATAAAAGTATGGGCAGCAATAAAGACATTGTCAGAAGTTCTTCCTCATTTTGCTTTTTTTTTTTTGGTTTGAATCCCCTGTGAAGAGATTTCCAATCACTTCCTGTCCTGTCACCAAATTCCCCAACAGAGACATAAATGTCAATAAAAACTTGACAAGGGTTTTTCCCAAGCAAAATGTTTGGCTGGAGTTTTACAGGGAATCTGTCGCCTATTAAATATATTATTGATGTTAAGCAAGTTATAAAACTTTTGAATATACTTTTTTGATAAAAAAATATTCTTAGGCTTCTTCTTTCCATAGATGAAAGCTAAATCAGATTCAGTGTCTAAAGCTGGCCATACACCTATAGATTATCTGCAAATTTTCTAGAAAATGTGATAGAAAATGTGCAACAGATTCCTCCTTCTACACTAAACTGTGTGGAGTTCATTGTTCAAGTGTTTTGAGAGCCAGCGGGGCCGACTAGCAAGATACTGAAGCTTGGCCCAGTGGGAGACTCCGCCATCCACATCTTGCTAGTCGGCCCCGCTGGCTCTCAAAACACTTTTGAGTGTACACAATGAGTGCATCCAATCAGATCGGCCCTGCTCTTGACATTGTGATAACCAGTTTCAAAGCCAGAGATCAGTTC